TATATTTTAAAGATCTGCAATACAACACTGGAAAGGCCTGTTGTCAAGAAAGAAAACTAGAATTTCCCTTGAACACCTAGAAATTAGTCAAAAGGTTCTTTACATATCATGTTGTTTGTTTTACTTGAATAGAGGGACACACAGGAGGATCTGTTAGCTTATCTTTAAATAGGGAAAGTGTAATTTACCTGTGGGGAAACCTGTCATTACCACCTCGAAGCCTCCTCAGCTTTCATGGCTTAAACTAGACAGGAGAATTTGTCACTTAGACTGAAAAGAAGATCAGAAAGATGAGATGAAAGCACCACAATGAAGATAATCCAAGTCCTGTAATTAAGGAATCATCACATACCAGTACTTCTGTCAACAAGACCGTTTATTTTTACTTTGAAATTTTCCCTTTGTAGCCTTCCACCTATGCAAAAATGATAACCGCTTGCTTATATTTAGCCCTTTCTCCCCAAAATGGCATTTTAGAATTACAGTACTAAAAATACATACTTTTAAAAGTTCAACACCATCCAAACATACATAATTTTGCATAATATTTCATATACAGTTGTAGCAAAAGTCTACATTCCTCCAAAGCAAATTCTACACTTTGATATTAATATAGATGCTAATCACCAGAATATACAACACTTAATTTGAATAGAAAGTACCAAAATATACAGATGTGCATAGTAAAAAAATAAAATGACTCAAAAAATCCCTTATTGCCTTGGTTCCCAAAGAGGTAGAAGAAACCAATTTTGTGGTCCCTTAAACATAAAACTACCTTAAGAGCTATCACATGAGTTTTAATATTTTCATATTTTCTTTAACAATAGAAAAAGGTTTACATGGAAACGTCAACCCCTGCCCATATCTGTCTACTCTGGCATGGGCTCAGGCTAGTTCCACTCAGGAAGGTTCCACCGCAGCTCCATCTCTAGTTTTAATAAACGCACCCATGTAAGCAGTGTTTGTATTCTTAAATATGGATTGCATAGACCTGTTTATATTCTTATAGGTTGCCTCCAGTGATTTTTGATCAGTTTGTAATACAACCTCTACTCTTGGAGTGTAGTGGAGTCTCTTTTCCTGGAGGTTTTTAAACAAGAGGCTGGATGGTCCACAGTGCTTTGATCATGTGTTCCCACAAGAAAGGGACTGGACTGAATGGCCCTTGTGGTGAAAAAATAAGAATGAGAAAATATTGTGCTTGGGTTGTTGTGGGTTTTGTGGGATGTATGGCCATATTCTAGATGCATTCTCTCCTGATGTTTCACCCACATCTATAGCAGGGATCCTCAGAGGTTGCGAGGTCTGTTGGAAACTAGGTTTATATTTCTGTGGAGTGTCCAGCATGGGAGAAAGCACTCTTGTCTGTTTGAGGCAAGTGTGACTGTTGCAATAGGCCACCTTGATTAGCACTGATGGCCTTGCAGCTACAAAGCATGGCTGGTCCCTGTCTGGGGGACCCTTTGTTGGGATGTGTTTGCTAGCCCTGGTTGATGATGATGATGATGATTATTATTATTATTATTATCTTTATTTGTACCCCGCTAGCATCTCCCGAAGGACTCGATGCAGCTTACAAAGGCCAAGGCCTCAACAAACAATAGTATAACAAATACAACTCAAAGCAAAATCAAAAACATTAAAGCAATAACAGTAAAACAACAAAAACAATACACCATGACACAATAAAACTGGGGCCAGGCCAAAGGTAATGGGTACAGATTAAAAAGTGACAGGTGATCTGTCGGATTTCAGGGAAGTGCAATGTTTCATCTCAGGAATTCCCATTTTTTTAGTGTTCCTTTTTTACTGTTCCAATTTTAGAGTTTTTTTTAATACTGGTAACCAGATTTTGTTCACACAGAAATACTGAACCACTCTAACAGCCACCATGTCAGACTACAAAGAGAAGACACTGAAATCCACAAGCATGTAGACAATTTCAACAGAAAGGAGGAAACCATGAAAATGAACAAAATCTGGCTATCAGTATTAAAAAACTCTAAAATCAGGACAGTAAATAAAGAGCAACATTCAAAAAGCAGGGGAATTCTATACAAAATCAATCAGGGTCAGCTAACACCTCCAAACAAAGGATTCCCCCAGGCAGGAAGCAGCCAGGCTTTGAAGCTGCAAGACCTTTCAGTGCTAATTAAGGTGGCCAATTGTAACATTCACACCTTGCCTCAAGCAGAGAAAAGTTCTTTCTCCCACCCTGGACATTCCACAGACATATAAACCTCACTTGACTAGTTTCCAACAGACCTCACAACCTCTGAGAATGCCTGCAGGTGAAATGTCAGGAGGGAATGCTTCTGGAACATGGCCATACAGCACAGAAAGCTCACCGCAACCCAGTGATTCCAGCTACAAAAGCCTTCAACAATACTGTGCTTATTTTTGTTGTTTCCTTCCTTCCATTCATTACAGTCCTAACTAGAATAAGAATTATTATGGCTACGAACAAAATTGGCCTCTTTGCAACAAACATTCCATATTAACATAACATTTGAGGGAGAAATGTCAAAACTCTGGAAGCCGATAGGAAATGACTCCTTCATATGGTAGGCACTGCCAACAGTATCTCCATGAACCACGTCAACTGTTTGTACCTTTCACTGATTGGCATCCAGCACTTAAATCTACATATGTCATTCTTCCATAAGGATTAATACCTAACAGTCTAATTAACTTGGCGTATTCAGTTAAAACAAAATACAGATATGGCTTACATTGTAAGTGCATCAACTATTTTTGTGTTATAGCTATTACTTTTTTTAAAAAAATAGACAACATAAAAACAAAACCTAGTATGTAGTCAAGAGGAAAGGTGAAAAGATAGAAAGGAAGATTTAAAAAAATCACAAAAAGAAAAATATATAATTTTACCATTACAGATCTAACAAAATAATCCTACTAAAATTGTTAATATTTGATGCCACAAATTATTACATTGTTACTATTCTTCTTGCTTGAAAACTCCACCACTGGCATTCAATCTTTCAGAAAACCTTAAATTGGCTTTTCCTTGAAGATCCACATTGACATAGCAATTTAAGCAACTATAACAAACCATTTTTCCATCGTCAATGTTTCAGTCTGCTTCCAGGTCTGGGCAAACAATATTAATGTTCAATGTGTTGTCGAAGGCTTTCATGGCCAGAATCACTGGATTGCTGTGAGTTTTCTGGGCTGTATGGCCATGTTCCAGAAGCATTCTCTCCTGATGTTTCACCTGCATCTATGGCAGGCATCCTCAGAGGTTGTGAGGTCTGTTGGAAACTGGCAAGTGGAGTTTATATATCTATGGAGAGTGTCCAGCGTGAGGGATAGCACTCTTGTCTGTTTGAGGCAAGTGTAACTGTTGCAGTTGGCCATCTTGATTAGCATTGAATGACCTTGCAGCTTCAAAGCCTGGCTGTCCAGGGTAGGAGAAAGAACTCTTGTCTGTTGGAGGGAAGTGCCCATTGCAACATTCACACTTGCTTCCAACAAATAAAAGTTATTTTTCTCACCCTGGACATCCCACATATATAAAAACCTCACTTTCCTAGTTTCTAACAGACCTCACAATCTCTGAGGATGCCTGCCATAGATGCAGATGAAATGTCAGGAGAGAATGCTTCTGGAACATGGCCAGAAGCTCGGAAAACTCACAGCAACCCAATATTCATGTCGCTGTTGCCATGTGTTGAAGAAGTAGCTCGTATTTGCTAGTAATTTAAGTATAATACCCAACAATGGCATATCTGGTAACATTACAAAATCCACCTTTAGATATATTTTTTTAAATTAACAAATATATCCTGAACCAATAGCTTTTCACTTTCTTACCAGTCCACCATATATGAAAGAATCTTGCCACCACCCCTCCCCCCCATTTTGATTTAATATATTCCTAAACATTTTGACAACTTATTTGGACTTAAATTCTATCAATACATCATCATAATCTTACACATATTTTCATTTAAATTACTATTCACAGTAAATTTTACATCCTTGGTCCACATTTCTCCTATACATCTATTTGAACATTATGCCAAAATTCGGGGCCCATCTTACATAATGTTGTGGTACTTCCAAGTGCTTTTGTAAGCCACCCAAATTTATTATTATTATAGGAGATAAATAAAGTTGTTGTTGTTGTTGTTGCTATTATTATTATTATTATGCTTTACCAGTTTATCTTTTTACAAATTTTCACTAATTTTTGTACCATTTTTTCGTGTCAGGAGCAACTTGAAAAACTACAAGTCGCTTCTGGTGTAAGACAATTAGCTGTCTGCAAGGTTGTTGCCCAGGGGATGCCCAGATGTTTTACCATCCTGTGGAAGGCTTCTCTCATGTCCCCGCATGGGAAGGCTGGAGCTGACAGACAGGAGCTCCTTGGATTCGAGTCGCCAAACTTTCAGTCAGCAGTTCTACTGGCACAAGGTTTTAACCCATTGTGCCACTGGGGCCTTTTCCTACAGCGAGGTGCCTAGTATTATGTTGGGGAAAAGCTTCATTTGTACAAAAGTCTTTCTGATATGATTTTTAAATGCAGTAATTTACATTATCATATCAAAGAGAAATACAATTGAAATATTAAATCATGACTTTCAAATTTCAAAGGCCTCTGGTATCTAACATTTTAACTATTTTAAAACAACAGGGTTTTCATTAGACATCAAACCACATCTATTTTGAAACTCAATTATTAACTGAAGGCAACAGAGATGAGTCAGCAATAGAATTTAACTTATTCAACACTTATTTCCCCAAAGGCATACAATACAGTCCAAGTTTTCATTTTGCAGTGGACGTGATGTAAGGCATCTTTTTCTCTTCAAGAAATGTTCTTTTTGGAGAGTCGAAGGAAAAATGATATTTATCATAATTGTCCCTGAACATGCTTTTAGTATTGGCAACTAGCAGATATCTGCATGCATTCCATACCATTCACTGATTTCAATACGTTTTTAATATTCTACCTGCAATAAAAACTTGGAAGACTGTTTTTCATTTATCTTTTGCATAGTATTTCAGCCACAGAATTAAAAATGCAAAACAGTAAAATACCAATAACAACAAAATCATAATATCCTGCTGCTCGACTGAAGTGCTATTTTTAACTGCTGGTAAAATGCATTTACATGGTCTTTCTGAACTGGCCACTCCAAGATACAGCGAGATTTGAACATTGCTCTTCTCAAATAAAGTGCATTATTCAATTTGTAATCTGGTATATCATCTCGAAAAATTAATACAATGGAATCCCGACTTTGTTCAATGGCTTGCTGTATGGCATGATGCACTTTGAACCTGAAGAAAGAAACAAAGAGACAAAGATCTATTTTTGGTCTACGAAATCTTTTGATGACATGTATGCATTTTCAGAGGGGCGCAGTGGCACAGTAAGTTAAACCGCTAAGCTGCAGAACTTGCTGACCGGAAGGTCGGCAATTTGAATCCCTGGGATGGGGTGAGCTCCCGTTGTTAACTCCAACTTCTGCCAACCTAGCAGTTTGAAAACATGCAAATATGAGTAGATCAATAGATACCACTCCGATAGGAAGGTAACAGCGCTCCATGCAGTCATGCCGGCCACGTGACCTTGGAGACATCTAAGGACAACACCGTCGAGTCGGACTCGACTACTGAATCTAAAGATTCCTGTTTTGCACAATAATAAATGCAGCACTTATTTACTCATCGGATATTTTAAATTCTGCTCTTGCTCATAACAATACCTTATAAATGGGAGTTTAAAAGGTGTAAATTGGTTGAACCTTGAAGTTAAGACTTCCCCCACCCCAAAACAAGATGTAGTTATTGGAATGTTTTTAACTTACCTTCTGCACCAGGGATCTTTTAAAAGATGCTCAGTTACAACAAATATAATCTTCCTGCTCCTTTTAATACTGTCAACGATGGCTTCAAATTCAGAAATTCCAGCTTCAAAATCCCGCTCCTCTAAGCAAAATCGAATTACTGGTTCATTATTTTCTTCAAGAGGAATAAAGTTCTTACACACCCAATTCTTATCCTTTCTGGAATGAATGATATAGGCATCATAATCAAACCACTGCTGCGGCCTGTCTATTTCTCTTTGGCCAAGGACTCTGTTAACTGTCACACTCCAAAAAAACTTTATTCTCCATCCTTGAAAGTGGATAAGTAGAACTACAGACATGAAGACCAGCACCATAGAAACGCTCACAGTGAAGAAGAGTAGAAATGGGGCACTATCACATGGTGAGATATCAAACTCAGCTACCATTTTCCCATAGTATTTAGGAGGTGTGTTGCATCGATAAAAGTTCAGCCCTGGAACAAATACTTTGCTGCTATTAAGCCAGTGAACAAACCAGGCTATACTGTCACAGGTGCAATCAAATGGGTTGAGCCCCATATTTACTTCTTCCAAATGGGCGAAAACCTTAGTGAACACTTGTTCATCCACACCTGTGATTAGGTTCTTCTGAAGGGACAAAAAGCTCAGGGATGTCAGGTCATCAAACACAAACTCTGGAAGCAATTTCAAAAGGTTGTCTCGCAGATTCAAGCTTCTTAACTGAGATAAGCCTTGGAAAGCCTCCTTTGGAAGCTCATCGAAGCCATTCGATTCTAGATCAAGCAGGCGCAGGTTCTGAAGACCTCTTAAGAAGAGGACAGGGCCCCCTGGGTTGGCATGCTTCCAAAATCGGGCCAAATTATTATGCTGAAGATCAAGTATTATAAGTTGGTGGAGTCCATCAAAAACATCATCTCCGACGCTGGCAATATTATTGTTACCAACATCCAGGATTGTCAAATTACTTAACTTACGGAATGGTGAGGGAGAAATTTTAAGATTGCTGCAACGTACTTTTCTCAGCCTTAGCGTTCGAAGACTAGGAATGGCACTGAAAGATTCACTTGTCAAATTCACTTGATAATTGTAAGATAAATAGAGAGTCTCAATCATATTAAGACCTTGGAATTCCTGGCCTGTAAGTTTTTGCTTAATGTCATTCAACCCTAAATCCAGAGATTTTAGTTGCCCGAGCCTAGAAAAGGCTCCAGACTTGATGGAAGTGATTCCGCTTTTGGTAAGGTTCAGAAATTGCAGTGAAGAATTGGCAAGTGATGAAAATGTTGTTCTTGTCACTGAGCTTATACTACACAGGCTTAAACTCAAGTTTTTCAAATTGTCCAAACCTTTAAAGGTGCTTGAGGTAATCTCTAGAAATTTATTACTGTCCAGTATAAGATCCTCTAAACGTTTCAGCCACTGCAAAGCAGAGCCAATTTTTCTGACATGAGCATTTTTCAGATTCAAATAATTCACATTGAACAGCCCATACAAGGAGCGAGAAGACAGATACGAAATATTATTATTCATTAGATTCAAATTCTCTAACTTTGTAAAATAGACAAGAGAGTCTTCTTCAATCACAGATAAGTCATTATCCGAGAGATCTAAAATGGTGAGGTTGGTATTACTCATTCCGCTGAAGGTTGAGCTGGAAATCCGCAAAAGCTGCACCTGCCTCATTGAGAGATTCTGAATTCTTGTTCCAGATAATTCTGAAGAAAGCTTCTCTGCACCATCTTGACCCAGTGGGATATTGTTCATGACAAGACCATATACATTTCCAATTGCACGGAAACAGCCTGAGGAAAACTAGAAAGTGAAAGAAAACATTTTTAACTGTTGATGCTACACATATCAAGTTCTTTGCATTTTAGGTGGTGAACAACATGTTTGTGGGGGTGGATCTAGTAATTTTACAGACTGGAGGATAATGGCATGACATTTTTCATATTAGTCCATTCTCTACAGCAGTGGTTTTCAACCTGTGGGTCCCCAGATGTTTTGGCCTACAACTCCCAGAAATCTCAGTCACTTTACCAGCTGTTATGATTTCTGGGAGTGGAAGGCCACAACATCTGAAGACCCACAGGTTGAGAACCTCTGCTCTCAACCTGGGGATCAGGACCCTAGGGGGGTTTGCAAGGGGGCTTCAGAGGGGTCACCAAAGGCCGTCAGAAAACATATTTTTCTGATAGTCTTAGAAACCCCTTTGGCAAAGAAGGCTGAAGATCTCCCCACTTGTCCTTCTCTTCCTTTTTGGAAACAGATGGCAAATCCTCCCACCAAAAGCCCTCCTCCATTGTGATCAACTGGCCACTTAGCCAAGCAGAGGGATGTTTAAGACTCCAAGCAGGAAGAGCAGGTGTGTGCATGTGCGGGGCAAGAGAGAGCGTGCAAGGCTGGAGGGAGGCTTGTGCCAGCGAGTCCTTTCAACACATGTGTGGGAGGTTTGGCCCAATTCTATCGGTGGGGTTCAGAATGCTATTTCATTGTAGGTGAACTATAAATCCCTGCAATTACAACTCCCAAATGCCGAGGTCTATTTCCCCCACACTCCACCTGTGTCCATATTTGGGCATATTGAGTATTGGACCAGATCTATCGTATGAGTCCACAGTGCTCTCTGGATGTAGGTGAACTACAACTCCAAAACTCAAGGTCAATGCCCACCAAACCTTTCCAGTATTTTCTGTTGGTCATGGGAGATCTGTGTGACAAGATGGGTTCAATTCCATCATTGGCGGAGTTCAGAACACTCTTTGATTGCATGTGACTATAACGATTCATAACAGCAGCAAAATTACTGAAAATGACATGATTTCTCTAAAAAAAATTTCCTTCATCTACAAAGGACTTCATTACACAGGACAATATTATAGCATGTATATTGTCAATTTAAAAATATATATTTACCGGGACTGCTAACCTGGCTGTATGCTGCTTACCTCTTTTAGAGGATTTGTTGACAAGTCCAGCTTGTTTAATGAGGAATTACTAAGAAAGTACAGATCTTCTTTCTTTAGCTCAGTAATTTTATTCTGAGACACCACAAGCTCCTGTAGACTCTCTAACTGTTGCTCAGATCCCAGTTTTATAGACTTTAGTCCATTGTGAGAAACATCCAGGAACTGCAAATTCTAAGAAAAAAGACAGGAAAAAGGTAACAAACTACATACATTGCAAGTACAGCGGTACACAGTTACTGAGATGGGTTGGCAAAGCCTTACAGATTATATCAGATTTGGTCAGTTAAAGGAAAACATCACTATTGTACATAGTTTCTAACTGTCATTCCTTCTTAAAACCAGTACAACTAATTAGTTATAGTTAATTATACTATACAATAGCTAACATAACTACTTGTACTACTATTAATGATTATATTGACAAAGAAATGTACCAAATAATAACAAGTATGACAGGAGAGAATACCTGGTAAGAATTTTTCCACTCCTAAGAAAGTGTGGCACGTTTGACAAAAAATGCAAGTATGTGCCAGAGATGGACAAAGTTGGGGGTTTAGCACAGCAATGATAAGATCTACCAACCGAAAGGTTGCCATTTCGAAGCCCCGGGTCAGCATGAGGGGCCGACTGTCAAGCCCAGCTTACTGTTCACCTAAGCAGTTGGAAAAAAGTGTGAGCGATAAGTAGCAAAATTAGTTACCGCTAAAACAAGCGGGGGAGGGGGGTATTTTATGACATCATAAAGAAAAAAGATCAGAAAATGCCAGGCAACCAAAAGAAAGGAGGAAGTCTTGATGGCTCTTTGACATAGAGAATGGGCCGACAGCACTCCTATGTGGTTGGATTCGAGCACAACCTTCCAAGGCACCAAAAAAAAAAAAAATCCTGGACGTCGACACAACATATCTCCTTTCTATTTGTCTGTCTCTGTATTGTCTATCCAAACTGGCACTGAATGTTTGCCGTGTATGTGTACTGTGATCTGACCCAAGTCCCCTTGTTGTTGTTATTATTATTATTGTTGTTGTTAAAGGCATGTGCGGATTTCACAGACACAGATATACATACAAGCTCCAACATCACTTTCAGGTTTGGTTTTTAACTTTTAAAAGTCTGACTTTCTTCATTTTTCCAGGATGTGCCAAATGGGGAAAGGAAAGAGACTTAGATTACAGCTTTTTGTGTTCATTAAAGGACATATTTGGACTGAATTTTTTAATGGGCTCAGGGTTTTGGGAGTCTCTGGGTGAAATTAAGGGCCACAAAATGAGATTCCAGGAGCCCATGCAATCTACTACTACTACTACTAATAATAATAATAATAATAATAATAATAATTCTCTCTCTCTCTCTCTCTCTCTATATATATATATATATATATATATATATATACATATATATATACACACACACACATATGAGGCAAACATTTAATGCCTTTTACACACAGTGAATGACAGTGAACATACAACACAGACAAAGGTAAAGGCCTTCCCCCTTTTCCCATCTCCAGCATCTGGAGGCGATGCTGAATTCTGGCTATGGGGAGGTACTTTTGTTCTGTTTTTGCGTGCTGAGGAGCCTGTTGTCCATTTTGTAAAATCTAATTCGAGTGATGGCACCAATGATTCTCACCTACAAAATTTATTTATTTATTTATTTATGGTTTTTCTATGCCGCCTTTCTCAACCTGAAGGCGACTCAAGGCGGCTCACGATTGGCATTAAAAACCATTAAAAACATAATCACCAGTGACTTCCTGATTAACTCATTTTCCAGAAGCATTGTCTAGGCCGTTCCGTGTTCACTCTTTCCTAGTTCTAAGTTTATCTAATTACACTGCATTTCCAAAGACTTGTTCAAAGAGCCAGGTTTTTACTTTCTTTTGGAATGTCAGGAGGGAGGGGGCTGATCTAATTTCCCAAAGGGGAGTTTCATAGCTGAGAGGTCACCACTGAGAAGGCCCTGTCTCTCGTCCCCACTAGGTGTGCCTGAGACAAAGGCGGGATCGAAAACAAGGTCTCCCCAGAAAATCTTAAGTTCCTAGCTGGCTCATAAGAAGAAATACGTTCAGACAGGTAAGCTGGGCCGCAAACATTTAGGGCTTTATAGGCTAAAGCCAGCACTCTGAATTGTGCCCGGTAGCAAACTGGCAGTCAGTGGAGCTGACACAACAAAGGAGTTGTATGCTCCCTGAGCGCTGCTCCCGTTAGCAATCTGGTTGCTGCCCACTGGACCATTTGAAGCATCCAATCAGTCTTCAAAGGCAACCCCATGTAGTGTGTTGCAGTAGTCTATACGGGATGTAACCAGAGCGTGGACTACCGTGGCCAAGTCAGAATTCCCATGGTATGAGCTCAGCTGGTGCACAAGTTTTAACTGTGCAAATGCTTCCCTGGTCACCGCCAAAACCTGGGGTTCAATGATGAATCCAGGATCACACCCAAGCCATGAATCTGCATCTTCAAGGGGAGTGTAACCTCGTTCAGCACAGTCTGTAAAAAGCAAGCACAATCTCTTACCTTCAGATCTTTGAAAGGTTCATTTTTCACATCCAGTATGTTGGATCCCAAATTAAGCTCCCTCAGATTGTCACAGGAGGTAAAAGCCTTGTCTGGAAAGGCATGCAACTGATTATGTTCCAGATTCAAAACTTTTAACAACGGCAAAGCCAAGCACAGCGGTGACTGCAGTTTAGAGATGGTGTTGAATCCTGCATCTAAGTAGACGAGCTGGCCATACTTGGTTAGGTTTGCAGGCGGCAGAGTTCTGAGCTGGTTGTGAGAAATATCCAAAGCTGTGATGTTGCTGGGGAGATCGGAGGGGATTTGCACCAGCTTTAAATGACTGCAGTCTGCCTTCACTTCTGTGATTTTGCAAGCACTTGCAGCTGATCCACCATAAACACTGATGGCCAAAAGGGTAAAAGACATACGGATCCATCCAAGAAAAATCATCTTCGTTTTTCTAGATAAAAAGTTCAAAAGGATTTTAATATAATAATATTAACAATATAATAATGAGAAGAGAAAATTTGAAAAAAATAAACAAACCTTACTACCCTTGACAGCCTAAAAACCTATTTGTATTAAACAGAAGAGAAAGTGAGTAAAAATACTTGCTTTTAGGAAGCAGGTACCACAACACACACACACAGGTTTCTGAAGTATAAACTGTAAGCAATATGACAGTAGTGAGGAATTATTCTAATCTATTTGTCAGGAATCCAGGTATTCACATTACTTACTTACTTACTTACTTAGGCAATCCCTCATTGTCTGAGTAGGATTGTCTTCCAGGATCAGTATACTAGTGGGGGGTCCATAGGTGACTGTGGAGCCCTATTATTGATCTGCATCTTCTCCCGCAGTGAGAGCATTGGTTTCCAGATGGAAGGCGGTCTCGATCGGGGTTGGTTTGACACACCTTCCTCTTGGCATGTTTCTCTCTTTCACCCTCCATTTGTGCCTCTTCAAATTCTGCAGCACTGCTGGTCACAGCTGACCTCCAGCTGGAGCGCTCAAGGGCCAGGGCTTCCCCGTTCTCTGTGTCTATGCCAGAGTTTTAAGGTTGGCTTTGAGTCCATCTTTAAGTCTCTTTTCCTGCCCACCAACATTCCGTTTTCCGTTCTTGACTAGTTTGGGAGACAGTGGTCAGGCAATGTGGCTGGTCCAGTGGCGTTGATAGCGGAGGACCATTGCTTCAATGCTGGTGGTCTTTGCTTCTTCCAGCACGCTGACATTTGTCCGCTTGTCTTCCCAAGAGATTTGCAGGATTTTTCAGAGGCAACGCTGATGGAAATTGTTCTAGGAGTTGCGTCTGTAAATAGTCCCCGTCTCACAGGCATATAGCAGAGTTGGTAATGCAGCAGGTTAAACTGCTGATCTGCTGAACTTACTGACTGAAAAGTTGGCAGTTCGAATCCGAGGAGCAGGGTGAGCTCCCACTGTTAGGACCAGCTTCTGCCAACCAGCCAGGCTCTGAAGCTGCAAGGCCATCCAATGTGTCCAACTGCAACATTCACACTTGCCTCAAATAAACAAGAGTTTTTTCTCTCATCCTGGGCATTTCCACAGATATATAAACTCCACTTGCCTAATTTCTGACAGACCTCACAATGTCTGAGGGTTCCTGCCATAGATGTGGGCAAAACATCAGGAAAGAATGCTACCGGGACATGGCCATACAACCTGGAAAATTCACAGCAAACCCAGTGATTCCAGCCATGAAAGCCCGACCTGGGTGCTAACTTTAAGAAGGAATAATGTTGCAGGGATTTTGAACTGTAGCCTCCTTTACTTCCTCCTCTCCTCCATACATTTATTATTATGGCATGTTTATATTGGCAGGACATGTTGCTGGGGGCGCTGTTCCTTGCTTTCGTTCTCGTTTGCCACACTAGATCTCCCTTGGAATCTCTGTCCCTGAATGCGAAGTCCAAAAGGTTTAGACACAACTGTACAAAGAAGCGTTGCAGGGCCACAAAAGGGAGAGAGAGCTCTACTAAGTCTTAAAGGGGACCCTCCCAGCCATCTCTCCCCCCATTAGCCCCCCAAATATGGGCGTCACTAAAGCTGCAGGGCTATTGTACTCACAGCGGGGTGATCCAGTTGGTGGGATTCCTTTCCTCCAATGCTGCTCTTTGCAAACTTTCTACTGCACTCAAGTCTTTGGTTGGAAAGGGAGCAGAGGGGTTGGGCTTGGCAAAGAAGGGAGGGCGCCAGGAGAGAAAGCAAGCAAGCAAGACAGCAGCCTCCCCCTCTTACATGCCTCTGGCTTCAAAGACGATCCCGAACTTCCTCTGGATCACTTCCTCTTCCTTGTTACGCGCCCCGAGTGTGGATCTTGCCCGTTCATCTTCAGCTAGTGGACGAAAATCAAAGCTTAAAGGAAAGCATCAGATCCAGTCTGTTTTGGGAAGTTAACTGTAGTTTGATGCAGTTTGGGCCCACTTCAATTGCTAGTGAGAGTTGTAGTTTTACAGGATCTCTAGGCTTTCTCTGCCAACTTCCCGTGTTATGTAATGTTGGGAGTTTTAGTTTTACAGTTTCTTCAAGCCACCTCTGCCTACCAGTGCTATGGAATGTTGGGAGTTGTAGTTTTACAGAGACTTCAAGCCTTCTCTGTCAACATTCCAGTGCTATGTAGTGTTGGGAGTTTTAGTTTTACAGCTTCTTCAAGCCTTCTCTGCCTACCAGTGCTATGGAGTGTTGGGAGTTGTAGTTTTACAGGGTCTTCAAGCCTTCTATGCCAACATTCCAGTGCTCTGTAATGTTGGGAGTTCTAATTTTGCAGAGTCTTCAACCCTTCTCTGCCAACATTCCAGTGTTATGTAATGTTGGGAGTTGTAGTTTTACAGGGCCTTCATGCCTTCTCTCGCCAACATTCCAATACTATGTAATACTGGGAGTTGTAGTTTTACAGGGGTCTTCAAGCTTTCCCTGCTAACATTCCAATACCATGAAATGTTGGGAGTTCTAGTTTTACAGGGTCTTCAAGACTACTTTTACAACATTCCAGTGCTACGTCATATTGGGAGTTCTAGTTCTACATGGTCTTCAAGCCTTCTCTGTCAACATTCCAGTGCTATGTAGTGTTGGGAGTTGTAGTTTTATAGGGCCTTCAAGCCTTCTCTGCCAACATTCCAGTGCTATGTCATGTCGGGAGTTGTAGTTTTACAGGGCCTTCATGCCTTCTCTACCAACATTCCAGTGCTATGTCATGTCGGGAATTCTAGGGTCTTCAAACCTTCTCTTGCCAACATTCCAATACTATGTAATACTGGGAGTTGTAGTTTTTCAGGGGTCTTCAAGGTTTCCCTGCTAACATTCCGATACCATGAAATCTTGAGTGTCCTAGTTTTACAGGGTCTTCAAGCCTTCTTTACCAACATTCCAATGCCACAGAATATTGGAAGTCCTCATCTTCAAGCCATCTCTTTTAAGAGTGCTGGTGCCTGGCCTAACTACAACTCCCAGCACCGAGGCATTGGAGTTAAAATGGTGTCAAACTACATTATTTCTACAGAATCCTAGATCTCAGGACCTGAACTGGCAGCCCTAGATGTTTTACATGGTCTTAGCCTTCTCTGCTAAATACTGCTGATGCATCACCTAACTACAAGTCCCACAAGTCCATAGCATTGAGCTATGGCAGTTCCAGTGGTGTCGACCTCCATTGATGTTAGATGCATCCTATATTCCATTTTCTTCTTTCTTCAGTATCAGTTTGAAACTGTATTAAATGATCAGTGTCATCCGACTCAAGGCAGCTCACTTATTAAAAGGCAATGCAGTGAAAAACTTACAAAAGCTCAACGATTAAAACCAATCAAAAACATATGATTAAAAACGAGTCATGTATTTTTGGTACTAAAACATTAACGGACAGCGATCCGTGTGCAATTATCCTTCTGTAGGAGATTTCCTCTAGTTTTCTTGAGAGCAGAATTAGAATATCAGTGAGATTTTTAATTTGCTTTCAGTCACAAATGTGACCATTGAAAAGTAATAGAAGGCAAGCTTTGTTTTTAGTTTTGATAAATTAATCATAAACCTACACAAAATTTTCAATTATTCATGTTAATTTGAAACTATTAATATAAATGTGGAATTAGGTCTTTCGTTTCCTTGCCTTACTTACCACCTTTGATGGAGAAACAAAACTCACCCTATTTATATGGGGAAGTGTCTCTTTACAAAAGAGCTATTTTGGTGTGATGCAGTTTGTCTGTTTTCTTGTCGAGTCGTAAACAGATTCAGGCTTTAGTCTTGATTTGTAAAGGCATTTAGAAAAGGTGAAAAGTGGTTCCATCACAATTTTTCAGTTGCAGTTGCATTATCAACAATTTTTTAAAATTCCATGTTCTTACATTGATATAATTGAGAACTGACCTTTAAGGGGTTGTGGTGTCAGGAAGGTTGAGAACCACTTATCTAGATTATTAAAGCAGACAATCCACATTATCTGTTTTGAACTAAATTATATGAGGTTCCATTTACACTACCATGTAAAATCCAGATTATCCAGGAGACATAAAGCAGGATATAATGAAATAAATACTATAATAATAATAATAATAATAATAATAATAATAATAATAAATCTTTTGAATGGATTATATGGCTGTGTAGACTTAGGTCCTTTCTATACTGCCATATAACCCAGATTATCAAAGCATATGATCCACATTCAATCCAGTTCAAAGCCAATAATAAGGATTATCTGCTTTGATAATCTGGATTACATAGCAACATAGAAGAGGCCTTGGATGGTGCTTTAATTTCTTATACTGTAGTTTCATATAGTTTGCTGCCTTTCAGACTGGACTACAATTCCCATCAGCATTATCATGCATGGCTACCAGGCAGAGATGATAGGGGTAATTGTCCAAGAACTGGAGATCCTGTACTAGGAACAGTCACCCTAAACAATTATTTCCATGTGTAAACCTCCTTGTACATATTGTAAATGAAAAATATTTAAAATCCATTCCCATTGCATGTATGGTTCAGTTGACTTTCTATATTCTTGCTACCAAACACATGAAATCAAACTGCAATATTGTCACCTAAGCAGAATATTATAATGTTTCAGATCTCATATGTCAAATAGTGTGTAGTTTGAAGAAGCTCCCTATAAATAGGTTGTGGAAGAGAATAATTTTTCTTGGAGCAATATTAAGTCCTCTTCTGCACTGCCTTATAATCCAGATTATCAAATCAGATAACCCACATTATCTGCTTTGAACTGGGTCATATAAGGTCCCTTCTACATTGCCCTATAATCCAGATGATCAAAGTAGGTAATCCACATAATTTGCTTTGAACTGGATTATATGAGTCGACACTGCCATATAATTCAGTTTGGAGCACATAATCTGGGTTTTATATGGCAGTGTAGAAAAGGTCATAGGGCCCTTCCACACAGACCTATATCCCAGAATATCAAGGCAGAAAACCCCGTATTACCTGAGTGTGGACTAAACCCAGTTCAAAGCAAATATTGTGGGATAGTCTGCCTTGATATTCTGGGATATAGTGCTGTGTGAAAGGACCCTAAGAGATATATCTCCCAAAATATGTTCCCCTACCACGTATACAATCAGTTGGCCATTTGTCCCACAAGCCAGTGAACAAGTCAAGAGCAATGAAAAGCTGAAATTGAAAAGACTATAATGTATATTAGGTGTAAAATGTGAGCACATAGAGACCTTAGTTGAAAATAGCACTGATAATTGTTCATGCCATTGAAGTCATAAAAGTAAAACCTGCAGCAGTTCACAAATGGAAACAGGGACACTCTGATGCAGGTCAGCTATCCCTGGTTTAGCCACTTCTTCTCTCCATTCACATATGAAAAAAAAATTATGAATGCTTTTCTGTGTTGGCGATATACACTATACCTTTGCTTCTAAAATAGGTATGCTATGACTAAATAAAAATTATTTCCTAATTACATGAGAAATAGCACTGTAAAAAACATAAATGGTAATCAGTTCAACATAGATAAACATGGAAGTTTGAGTGTCTAAAGTTGTGTTCAATGCTTCCACCTGCTGGTTGGTAGAGCATACTATAAATTTGTGTAGAATGTGCATGTGCCTTCAAGTCACCTGTGGGCTTATGGCAACTTTGTTTATCTTGCATTGTTTTAGTCAATTGTTGTATTTTACAACATTGAATGTTTGTCTTTTATGTTGTGAACCGCCCTGAGTCTCCACGGGGAGACAGGGCGGGATTTATTTATTTATTGGCCCCTTCTACACTTCCATATAAAATCCAGATTATCTGTTTTGAACTGGATTATATGGCAGTGTAGATTCATTCAGTTTAAAGCAGATAATATGGATTATCTGCTTTGATAATCTAGATGAGTGTTTCTTAACCTGGGGGTCAGAACCCCTGTGGGGGGTCACAAGGTGGTGTCAGAAGTGTCTCCAAAGACCATCAGAAAACACAGTATTTTCTGTTGGTCATGGGGGTTCTGTGTGGGAAGTTTGACCCAATTCTATCGTTGGTGGGATTCAAGGAGCTCTTTGATTGTAGGTGAACTATAAATCCCAGTAACTACAACTCCCAGATGTCCAGGTCTGTTTTCCTCAAACTCCACCAGTGTTTGCATTTGGGCATACTGAGTATTCTTGTAGAGTTTGGTCCAGATCCATCATTGTTTGAGTCCACAGTGCTCTCTGGATGTAGGTGAACTACAACTCCAAAACTCAAGGTCAGCGCCCACCCAGGGGTGGCTCAACCCATTACGCAAAGTAAGCATTTGCAGTATAGTTGATTTTGCCCAGGGGCGCTCTTGGGGGAAAATAGACCTTGACATATGTGAGTTGTAGTTACTGGGATGTATAGTTCACCTACAATCAAAGAGCATTTTGAACTCCACCAATGATGGAATTGAACCAAATATGGCACACAGAACTCCCACGATGAACAGAAAATATATATCAGTGATTGGTTGGGGGGGGGGGGGGGCACCAAAATACTGTTTGCTTACTGTTGAAAATTACCTAGGGTCCCCCTCTGCGCCCACCAAACCCTTCCAGTATTTCCTGTTTGTCATGGGAGTTCTGTGTGCCAAGTTTAGTTCAATTCCATCATTGGTGGAGTTCAGAATGCTCTTTGATTGTAGGTGAACTATAAATCCCAGCAACTACAACTCCCAAATGACAAAATCAATCCCCCCAACCCCACCCCACCA